ACTGATTAATTATAACATCACCGCCACACACTGATTAATTATAACATCAACACCACACACTGATTAGTTATAACATCACCACCACATACTGATTAATTATAACATTACCACCACACTGATTAATCATAACATCACCACACACACTGATTAATTATAACATCACCACACACACTAATTGATTATAACATCACCGCCACACACTAATTGATTATAACATCACCGCCACACACTGATTAATCATAACATCACCACACACACTGATTAATTATAACATCACCGCCACACACTGATTAATTATAACATCACCGCCACACACTGATTAATTATAACATCACCACCACACACTAATTAATTATAACATCACCACACACACTGATTAATTATAACATCACCACCACACACTAATTAATTATAACATCACCACCACACACTAATTAATTATAACATCACCACACACTGATAAATTATAACATCACCACACACTGATTGATTATAACATCACCACCACACACTGATCAATTATAACATCACCACCACACACTGATTAATTATAACATCACCACACACTGATTGATTATAACATCACCACCACACACTGATCAATTATAACATCACCATCACACACTGATTAATTATAACATCACCATCACACACTGATTAATTATAACATCACCACACACTGATTAATTATAACATCACCACACACTAATTAATTATAACATCACCACCACACACTGATTAATTATAACAACACTACACACTGATTAATTATAACATCACCACACACTGACTAATTAACTATAACATCACCACAACACACTAATTTACTATAACATCACCACCACACACTGATTAATTATAACATCACCACCACACTGATTAATTATAACATCACCACCACACACTGATTAATTATAACATCACCACCAAACACTGATTAACTATAACATCACCACCAAACACTGATTAACTATAACATCACCACCACACACTGATTAACTATAACTTCACCACCAAACACTGATTAACTATAACATCACCACACACACTGATTAACTGTAACATCACCACCACACACTGATTAATTATAACATCACCACCACACACTAATTAATTATAACATCACCACCAAACACTGATTAACTATAACATCACCACACACACTGATTAACTATAACATCACCACCAAACACTGATTAACTATAACATCACCACACACACTAATTAATTATAACATCACCACACACTGATTAATTATAACATCACCACCACACACTGACTAATTAACTATAACATCACCACCACACACTGATTAACTATAACATCACCACACACACTGATTAATTATAACATCACCACCACACACTGATTAACTATAACATCACCACACACTGATTAACTATAACATCACCACACACACTGATTAATTATAACATCACCACCACACTGATTAATCATAACATCACCACACACACTAATTAATTATAACATCACCACACACACTGATTAATTATAACATCACCACCAAACACTGATTAGTTATAACATCACCACACACTGATTAATTATAACATCACCACACACTAATTAACTATAACATCACCACCACACACTAATTAACTATAACATCACCACCACACATTAATTAACTATAACATCACCACCACACAGATTTATTATGATATCTTTTCCACGTATGTGTTAATACTATTTTACGTATAGTTATCATGTTGATGCGATAAATGTCTACTTTTCTTAATTAATTGTTATTGGTGAGTTATAAGATCACACAAATTAAACAAATGAATTTCTGAATTTCACCTTCAAAGATAAATCGATAGACAGATATACTTGAAACAAACAATAGATTTAACTGCATCATATAGCTGTTTCGTCCTTCTAGGACTCGTCAGTGATGCTACATCATACAGCTGTTTCGTCCTTCTAGGACACGTCAGTGATGCTACATCATACAGCTGTTTCGTCCTTCTAGGACTCGTCAGTGATGCTACATCATACAGCTGTTTCGTCCTTCTAGGACTCGTCGGTGATGCTAAGGGCCTACAGTGTGAAGTCTAGGAGGCGACAGAGGAGACCCGAAGGCGATCGAAGGTAAAACCAACATGGCGAGATGCACTAACCAAATGTTATAATAAATTTTGTAATTTTTATTTATCTGTTAATTTTGGACCAGCGTCAAATACATATGTATATTCTGAACCGTGCCACTGTTCGAGTGAATTAACACTAAACGGAGGGACTAAAACCCACCAGCAATGTCTGCCAACGATAAAAATTCTTCAGCTCTATCAAAACAAAACTATATTATGATATTATCTCGTTTTGGGAATTGTATATAAACTTTGATCACGTGTTTCTACATTGTTGCTTGTGTTGTAGCAACAATAGATAACTGAATTACCGTAGTGATTTTCTGATCAAATCGATAATTCGATCAAAGAACCCTTATCAATGGTGTTACGTCATTTCACGGCGCATGACGTCACGTTTATCCATGACTGAAATAATTAACAAGATCTTGAGAAACAAGATGGATATGATCGAAGGATGATAGTAAACAAATTTTGTAGAAAATGACATATGTAATTACAGAAGTATACAAGTTAGTTTTCGTCCGCATTAAAAAAATAAACATAAAAAACCACAAACATCCCATATGACAATTCCAGAAACCATTTTAAATGATTTACAAATACTGCTCGTGCTGTAATAGAGAGGCCGACAGCTCAATCGGTTAAGTCATTTAATATTCAATCGAACTCTACCCGTGACGGCACATGCTTCAGGAAGCTGAAGTAAAGGCTGCTCAGTTCTATCGTCGTTTTGTCTTTGGGGAAGGCACTTAACTTCAATTGATTTTGACGGCATGCAGTGGGTCTTTCGTAATTCAGTGATGTAGCCACCAGATACTGAAAGAAGACCCCGTCTCAAATTACTCTGGCTTTTGACTGGGTGAAAACTCCAATCAAAGAAGTTGATGGAGAGTTTGTTAATGTGTTGAAACTGGGAAAAAACATCGTTTGTAACAACATGATAGGTTAGCGAGGGGTTACGGAGGTGGTGAGGGTGACTGGTCCATTGATGTTTTAGTTAGCCAGATACATTAGGTAACATTCCAAGTGTAACCAGGATGCATTGTGCGTGTGCATAAAACTACCGTATGTTGCATATTTTTCTTAAAAATAATCAGCAATGTGCCCAATACGATTTATAATGCGAGATCAAACACGGGTCTGTATTCACACGTAATCAAGAAAGTCTGCGATGTATTGGTAGCATATACGTTCAATTAGATTTGATAACACAATGGTTGTGCGATCCGATATCCTTTGTGTGAAAGCCTGATGGACTTGTAAATGCCAAACCAAGCAGAAAACTCTGGTTATCACCTCCTGTGCGCGTACGTCTGCATGCCTCTGGTAATTCGAGCCAACATGTGCATCGAGTCCAACTGCGCTCGACCGAGACTTACAGAGCACGAGACCAGAAAATGAGCTGACGATTCCCTCATGGACCTACATTGTTGGCTATCTGGCCGAACTGCTCTCTAGAGAAGGAGGTCATGTTACACATGCTTCACGTGAGAATTCAAAATGGCGTCAAAAGAACTTTCATCGTACATTTTTTCTCGGTGAAATGCTAATTATTTAGTCGTGTCAAGTGTTATTGAAAAGTAACCACTGCAGAAATATCGGGTTTACAGTAACAGCAGTATCTTAGTGTTGTTCTCGTGGTGTGAACTTAATTGTTTTGAAATGGAATGTTGGGAAAAAAAGAAGAAGAAAGAACCATCCGCAGTTGTAATTTCTTACGATCTCTGTGTGTTTGAGAGATCAAATCCTTGTGAGCATTACAGTGAACATGCTATTTTTAATTCTTCTTATCATACCAATCTAAAACTCTGTTAGATTTCGGAAATAGTGACCCAATGTCCTCTGTACAATCACGCCAACCACCACGAGTTTAGTGCGGTCACCGTCGGACATCTCCACTAATATTGTATGAACTTCAAACAGGTTCCTATAGTTTGAAGAAATCTTTTTGTAGACCAACGTAACGAATTTTTATCTTTAAGGCACGTTTGTAACAGTAAATAACCAATAACCACAGCTATCTGGCGAAAACGCGTCTGCTTCACGCGTAACTGAAGTATGTGATTTAAACAAATCCCACCATGACTTAGACGACACCAAGGGACATAACTCGTTTTGCGTTGAAAACTGAGCCTTGCGAACTAGGTCGACGTATAAAGTTATAGTGTCTTTGTTAAGTTGGCACAGTGATTCTATTCAACTAAATTAATGATTAAATACGTCTTTCTGTCATAGTTTGGTTATTATGCTTAGCCATTTGATAAGCCGGTATTTAATCTATATTGACGGAAATTCGTAGTTACCGTTATAAACCTACAAATGTATCTTAATACAGCTAATCTGATAGGTTTCTCTCCAGTTTACAATATGATGTTAAACACACATCGTATATCACATTTATTACTTCCTAGTTATTGAATACCAATTTGGAGATGTGAGAATTGTTAGAAAACTTCTACCAGCTCTCCAGGTTTTTTTTCTGTATCAACTTCCCTTCATTAATATCATACTTTCATGACCGAGACTAACCCAGTAAAACATATTAAATATAAGATTTCATACTCTCGAGTAAAGATTAAATAGTCTTTTTTCCTTGTATGCTATTTTCTCCTGGTTTTATATTAGAATCTCTTGAATGTTATTTCATTTCTTTGAAAAATCCAGATTTTTAAGTAACGAGTCAGACAGTAGAGTATCGGCTTATCTGCCCCTGGTTATCAATTTGAATCTCTTGCACGACTGAGAGTAGTATCATACTTCTTAAGCCTGTTAAAGTCAGGAACAAGACAAAACAACATCTCGCCCAAACTTAATATCTTTACTCTTTCAGGTGACTCAGTCTCATTAGATGTGGATCAATACGACACAACAACACAACACATTAAGTATTTTGTAAACCTTCAATTTTATTGGGTTCTTCTTCTTTTCTTTTACAGTATTTTTTATCTATTTCAGCATCAACAAGAAATAGTTTTTTGACAACACAACAAAGTTGCACTTGATGAACTATGATAAATGGAAACAAGTTGATGAGCGTTTTGAGTCTTTGCACTGTTCATTTAACTAAAAAAAAATCCATGCTTTAATTTCATTCAACATTCACTCCTTCTTACATTCTTTATTTATCCATTCATTCACGCAGAAAAAAATCTTTAAAAAACTCGACCAAGTCGAATATCGTTCTCCACTTTCATATCCTGACTAAACCTTTCCAATTTGAACACATAAGTAATTCTGAAACTACACAACTAAATCTTTAATATGGACAAATTAATCAAAATATTTCAGGTTTGGTTTTCACCAAAGATGATTGTGGCTCAACATAAAACGAGATCAATTCAATATAGGGATTCATCTGGATCGTGAAGTGTTACGGTAAATGACATGATGGTTGTTAATTGTTAAATGCATTTCATTAATATATGTTCTAATTAAAGATTCCTCAAATCTATTTACTCCAACCAGACATTCATATTTTGTTATCTTTTTTTCTTTTACTTTCTTTCAGATGTAAACATGAAGATATTCTTTAAACCTTCCAATCTCCATGTCATTTACCATACATTAACTGTGGATCTCTTCTCTTAAATTTCCTTAAACTTGTCTAATAAATCATAGAGGATTTAAAGAGTAGAAAAAGAACGAAATCAAAATTCTTGAAATGTACATAATTAATAAAAAGGGAGATAGAAGATAGGCAAGATATGGTGATAAACGCCAAAGATTAAAATTGAATATTTCTTTTGTAATAAAATCAAATTATCTCCTAAAATAACTGTTTCCATATTCCATAGCAATCACTTTTCTTCAAATTCTGCTAACATTTGTTTGTATTGTTTTTTTTTTTGTTAAATATTTACATTTGAATTAAATAATTTTATTCTGACTAAAGGAAGTCAGATCCAACATCATAAATAGGAGTCCTCTTATTTGCTTTCACAAATAATTCATGTAATACATATATTATATACATTTCGCTTAAATGTATTTTAAGTTAGAACATAATTTAAGGCAAACAATAAATAAAATGATAATATGCAAATGAGATCGGCCACAGTTCTACTCGCTTACACCTGGTCAGGTGTGAGCCAGCAGCTGCAGTTACACAAATATATAGAATTGCACAAGGGTTTTAAACTTTTCTTCACAAACTTGGAAAATGAGGGCAGTGTATTATGGAAAACACAATAACACAAAATAAAATAATATTTTTTGCTCCACAAAGATAAAAATAAAAATATTTCTCCCAAAGATGTAAAATTATATTTTTCGCCTTGTTTGGCATCTGTGCCTGATGTTATCAGCTGTAAATATCAGATGGATATTTTTTGGAATGATTTAAAGTTAATTGAGAAAAAATGTATACCATTTAATGGTAAGTTTTGTAGTTTTCACTCGTGGATAAAAATTTATATTACAGTTCTCAGCCATCAAACTATAAATATTTGAAACATTCATTCTGCATTTAGTAACATCAATTCGTTTATTTTGACAAATATGCCACACAGGATCACCAGTAGCGACACCTACTGGGCACATAGTGAACAACTGATGTACGGGGTAGACAAATCCAAGGATGACAAACATCTTTTTTTTTCGTAAACAAAAAGAGAAAATTATCATAATACAATCAAACCTTCTCACAGAAAATGCAAAATAATTGTCTTTTACTTGTAACTCAGAAAATTTTACATCTATCTAATATCTGTCGGCAAGACATATCAATCTTCAAATTTTGGCCAAGAATTAAATGTAGAAAAAGTACGGATCCTGCCGCACTACAAGTCAATATTTCTGTTTTGGTCCTTGAATCTACACTTGGTACTCGTTCACTATTGGCAAGTATGGTCCCAATGTGTCCAGTGCTTGAGGTGCTGGAAGACTGGCCACTGTGTCCAGACGGACAATAGGGCTCTGTCCATTTATGTCTGGTCCCAGCTCTCCGTAATACCACCTCTGTCCTCATTCACCGACTGACTGGCACATCATCTCTGGCAACAAAGCACTTCTGTTTGCAAAATCTGTGAAGATACAAAATACAAACATATGAGTAAAAGTGGGATAGACCTTGTCACAAAGTCTCTTCTACCTCTAAGACATGCTGACAGGTATAATGCACTGTATGACTCAATATTTAACTAGTTAATATGATAATATATACATGCAGTTTATATCCAATGCTGGTGCACTATTTGAACTCAAGGCACCAACACAAAGCTGTTTAAAATGCTAATTTGGTCCTACTTTTAATTGATCAATTCCTATAAATTCAGGTAAAGCTAATCAAAATTTGAAGGCATCAAAATCAGTTTTGTTTTTTTTTGTTTTTTTTTCTTTGTTTAGAACTTTAAACATACTAGTCTCTGAGTCTTAATTAGAGCTATTTTTTCAACAAATCAGACAATTCTATTTAGACCCTCCCAATTCTAGATTTCACCTCTCATGTCTAGGTTTCACCTCTCGCAATTTTACAACAGCTGTATTTACAATGCTGAGTTGAGAAACCAGACTCTGTTTTCATCCCCAAAAGGCCCCATTTACAGATGTACAGTCCCCCATATACAGCCCCTGGTTTTATCGCGGAGCCATCTCTACAGCAGTCATTCAACGTCTTTGTAGGATATGCTATGATGTCGGAGGGCATTACTCTTAAAACGGGTCAAGCTTTATGCAAATGAGTTCATCGGAGCCTACTATCACTACTACTACTACGTTTTGTGTACATAGTAAATACACAAGAGAGTATGTATAAATGCTTCACTCCTGATCAACTGTCACGGCCCTGCCCACTCAAGCGAGGATTTTCCCAGATCTGGGCCAGCAGCCATCTCAGGTTAAACCGGCCCACGGCCATAGCTCATTAATCTTCTCCTTCTATATCCAAGCCCCTGTAGTGTCTCTCCCATCCTTCATTGATAGTAATGTGTATTGCCACTGTGCTAAATTATCATTAAACATTTCCTATACAAATATATTAAACCTCCCTGAGTATTTTGTATACAATTCACTTGTACATAAATGAGAATGCATGTTTATTCACTAATTACATGTAAATAATTTTTTTAACTCATGTGTTAAGAGAGAGATTTTGCTCGACGTATTTCTAAAGACAAGCCATGATGAAAAATGGCAGCTCTTTAAATGCATACTACATGCTGTATTTTGCATCAACTCTGAGGCCGGAGGGAATTTTACAGGACACCTCTGACGACAAGAAACCGTCAAGAGTGATGAATGGCATTGGACAAGCATTAACACTTTCAACACTACCAAGGCAACAGCTGACCCTTGGTCAATAATGACAGTGGTCAACTGAGATGGCCTCGGGTCAAATAGTGGGACCTTCCCCTTTGCCAGTGTACACTATACACTAGTTTTATCCCTCTCACCAAGACATCTTCCCACGACATTTGTAAAGATTATTAGCTCCTAAACCTTGTATAATATTACAACTATTTTTCATAAATAACCCGAGGCTTTCTGTAGATTGCTTGACGGAGTTAATAGTTAGTTATAGTTTCATCACATAAAGCAAAATTCTGTTCTTAGAGAAATCAATTCAACACTCCTATTTTGGAAGTAACTTAATATACGGGGCATAAAATAAGTATGTAAAAATTTGAACTCCCATTTATTATTGCGAGTCAAAAGTACAAGCGAGCATTCTGTTAAATCAATTTATAGATTAACTTATTTGCACAGTAGCAAGCAACGACTAGACTAAGCTTCAAAGATTGCTGCCAAATACTGGAAATCTAGCAGAATATTGAATTATCAATATACCAGTCAATTTGAGAACAAAGGTCCCCAGCCCTGATTCTTTCCCTACCACACAGGGCGTTAATTAGTGTAAATCTGTTTACTATTGCCATGGCGATCCCATCAAATCATACTGGCTTCATACCTGATGTTTAAATATTTATCCTACCGAAGGCTAGCTGGTCACGAAGATCTTATGCAATGCAACATCAAATTTTCCCACTGTCTATACAGATATTTGGTTGAGTATATTGATTTGTAGGGAACCATGGTCTAAATGATTGATATTGGAGGCCTACCTGTATATATAGACTAAAAATTTCTCTTCATTCCAGTCTTCTTGTCTTGCTTGATGTTGTGCTTGAAGGGACTGCTCTTTTTCTTTTCCTCAAATATGCTGAAAACAAAACAGATTTAATTAATAATACATACAGTAATATCTTTTTCCTGTTCAGAAATGTTACTGAAGTTAGAAAAACATTCTTGACTTAAATATTCTTTTAATGAAAATTTTGGACAAAAATTTAATTTATTTTTCATTGTAGATTTCATACAATGTTGTATATTTTATATAAAATGTTCTACAATGCATTTATATAAATATTACTATTATTGAACAGGACAATAAAAGCCAATTAATTCAATACATTTTTGCTTAATATATGTAACTGTTCATTCCCATGGTGCAGAAATAAACAACAGAGAAATACGATTACATGGGGCGGGAAGGAACAATGCATTAGAAATCGTGTGATTGTATTTGTGTAAACCTGTACATATGCTACTTGTATTTAAACTCCCCATGAATGAACGTGTACGGTCTTGGCGACAAACCTATCTGAGCCGGTACTTTGTACCTGCCGAAACATGTTCGCCACACTCGCCAATCATGACACAAGGCAGCCAGATTTGAATGGCGCAAATATTGCTTCCCGCAATTCATATCCAAACATGTTTTCATTTAAATGCCCGCGTACAATAATAATCAGCTGAGATCGAGCATGTGCTTCGATTTCCTCACCAAAATATAAAATGAGATCGAATGATTGATCACACATGCAGGAAAGGGGTTACATTGTCATTTCGGCGTTCTAAACGGGCATTAAAAAGCGAAACACACAATTTTGGGACATTGCCACATTTGATTGTTTACGTTCGTAGTGAAAACAACACGATACAATCAAGATGGCCGTCAACATCAAAACCATTTCACATATGGCAAACATTAACCGCCAGCACAAATTTATCCGTGCCCTGACGCTATCCGAGACCGCTACTACGCGAATTTACAACCGAGAATGTATGTCACAACTGATACAGGCGTGATTCTCTGTAACTAGGTCAGAGAAACGAGGCGTACTCACCATAAACACCCTACAACTACGCAACACAAAAACATTGGCTTCATTACACCTAATTAAGGTCTAAACTTACAAGATTTAGGTTAGAATTGTAGACTATTCTAAAACGTTTTGTATAAATTAGCATAGCTAGTAGGCAACACACAAATACACACGAGTCTAAGGGAAAATAGATGGGTCATTTCCCATCCCCAAGGCAGTCAAAGTACTTACCATCCATGTGTGTTTGTACGAGTTTCGCGGGGATTGTAGAACTGTGACTTTTACTATCCTCGTCCGATTTATTGCACAAATCCGTATGACTAGATAACACATCATTGTCCTCATCGCTGGTAGCACTAGATACTCTTTTATAATTACACTCATCGTCACTGTCGTCGCTGTAATCCCTATTAAAAACAGAATTGCACGGCACACGTGGTATCACACGTCGGAATTTTGATGTGTATCCTTTTTTGTAGAAATCTGGACAATCCGTGGTTTGTACCCAATTCAAAGGCCCATCCTCTGGTACATCATTAAGGATATCATAGTTCCAACGAGATTTGGCCTCTGCACAATCTTTGGCATAGAGTTTTGAAACCTCAGCTTTAAGACTGTCCTTATCCGGCTTACCGAATAAACACCTTCGTACCCGCGACACATCCATCTTTTTGTTGCTGTTGTTAATATTGATGTTTTCCTTGAGCTGAACCACAGCGTGCATCTTTGTGGCGATCATCAGAACAGGACCTAGAGTAGTACGTCTGAACACACCAAGAGTTACACACGGGTCTACTTCAAGCCCAGACAAGCAGTCGGTAATGAAACGGACGCCTCGACAACGTCAGCCAATCAGATCCGAGAGTTATATTGTGGGCGGGGCGACTTATCACATGACATTGTATGATGATTGATAGTTTAGCGTATACGGTAGTAGTGTGTGAATCACGGTATGTTTATATTTACAGTAATACTCACCGATGCATATGCAAATTTGTTTGTTTGTAAACAATCAAATACGACATTTTAGCAAGATCTAATTATATATTATTCATAAAAGAATTGAAAATATTATTGTCTGAAGTATATTTTATTTCAAAATCCCTAGATCACTGAGATGTATGGAAACTGATTTGCATGTTGTAAATGACGATCGGCGGCTAAAAATAGCCACAACATTAGCGTGTTGGTACTTGCTCTGCTCACGCGAGTTCACTGAGCTGTGACGCATATAGTTTCTTTAAACACTAATTTCCCTTATACTATGTGGGAATATCATGATAAACTTGTACCCATATGAGATGCACAGCTTAACGTAATAACTTATTTGATTACAAACTAAACAAGTACATATTGTATTACAACGATACCGTAGATGAGAAACATTCGTTGTGAAAATTTGTCGATATGACTCTGTCAATCGTGACTTTAATGCTACAAACTACAGCGTTTTATTATTATTATTATATTTTAATTCCATGTTTATTTGTTTGTAGCGTAAAAAACGTTTTTACATTGAAGAAATATAGATTTAAATCCCGTGCGTTGCATTACAACCGTACTGTCTATTGTCATTTGATGCGTACAAATTGCAAGAAAAAAACTTTTTAATTTTGCTTCAGAGTCAAACATCTGGAATTATGATTGGTTCAAATGATCATGTACCAATAAATGTTTCTTTCACATTTGACTTTTCATATTCATGTTTGTATAGGTAACAGGACATAAAATTTTTAAAACGTACATGGTCTCAAACAGAGGAAAATATTGTGCCAAGGGAAATAACTCGTAAGAAATGACCGTCGAGATTTCAGCATGGTGCTCTAGCAACATTTTGCCCGTTTCAAAATCCATACAGATATCGGGAAATTACGCTAGTAATAAACCTTAATGTCATGTTTAATTCCTATGTCAATGCAGTATCGATCTTAGACAGAAGTTCATTTATTCTGACAAAATATATCACAAAGAGAATCGATGGTATTATCACACGGGCAGATGTTGCCTTTCATTGTCCAAAATTATTGATTTCTAAAAATTCTCATTCATTCTTGTACCGTGAGACTCATTTTCATCATGGTGTGTAACAACGACCCGTTATTTCATATTCGACATAACTTGCTAGTATAAGGTCATATTATTCATTACGATACCGATTATCCTTACAAAAATATATATATATATATACTCGTGTACGAAAAATTACTGAATCAGAGTAAAGAAGATTTTTTTTTTATTGAAATGTTCATAATAATTGTGTTTCAAAGGTAAATAATATAGATATCAATTTATGTGATAAAATAGAGATATACGATGTTGATTTGTCTGTAATTGCAACAGGTGGTAGCTAAAAATAGGAACGTTAGATTATATTTCGAAGCGAAAATCATATGAACATCCTTTGTCAGGCTCAGAACTTTGATATATTAATTCTGAAACGTAATACAGGATTATATTTATAACTCGATATTGGACATGTAAGTTGTGTTTCATATTTTTAGTTTTTGTGATCAATTGCAAGGTAAAAACTGAAAATCTGAGTAATTGAAAACATACAATATTATATGATAATATATAAAATAGATAATTAGTGAGTTTTTAAACAACGGAAACTATATTAGGTAGATCTAGTAGATGAATATAATTTCACTAAATTTAAAGTATATAATTTACTCGTTTCATTACATGCCAAAATAGACACATTTAATAATTCGATATTTATGGCACAATTAAGTTATCATTTATCCCTAATTAAAGAAAATTATGGTAATTCATCAGATTTAGGATTGAAATTTTACCTGTTTTAACTCCAGGGCAGAGTATATTTTTTGTCTAATTAAAAAGTCGTAATCATGACTTAGCAGTGTAAAGTAATTATAACGCTGTTTTACTCAATAGCCGTAAGTGATTTGAAGTAGTACTCTTTAAAGTGTTAAAAAAAAACACACATACACACACAAACACGGTTGGTAAGAATATAAAAGATGATAATAGTTTCTCAGGATATGAAATTGTGAGATCGGAGTATAACTTACACACACGTTGATAAGTCGATGTGTCCTTGTAGAAACAAGACAAGGATCGTGAGACAAAGACAGTTTGTATATTGACGGGTGACAGATGGTGCGGTACTGTGGACGCGTGGCGGTCCCAGACAGTGGCTGAAATATTACAATCACTTCCTAGGATCCTTTTGTTAAGAATAAGGTGATGACGAGCATCCTTTACAGCCGCTTAATTAACACACATGAGTTAATGTTTTGATTAACTAACACGTGATGACACTCGTGCAGCTTGATTGATAAACATATAGGTTAAATATTACGTAAGTATTTGACAATACACAGCCGAATTATTTCCGTTTACATACAGAAGCACAATACACATGCCACAATTTTTTTTACGGGAAAAGTTTTTGGGTGGAGGCACACGTGGAAGGAGATTGCACGTGTCATTAATTAGACAATATACGTCACTTATAACATATACAAAAGAGAAAAAGGCCCTTGTGACTTTACATTGACTAAATACTACATGTATATTCACGAGAATGATACGTTTTTAAACTCAGTTGAGTGCACCCATCTCGCAAAAGCATGTCACCTAATGACAACAGGGACGTAAACATTGAGACAGATACATCTATATTCTGAATATGATAATTTTCTTTATTATCCATTTTCTCCTTGACACCTAAATAACATTCGTCTGGTGTCACAATCTTTTTTTTCTACAGACTCAATGTCTGTCTATCCGATTGCCTACCTGGTGCAAGATAGGGTATCATGTACCTTTCTGGTCATATCTACATATTTTCTGCGTGACATTTCATCGCCACAATTATCGTGTAATATGCTGTAATGATTACGCGCCATTATGCTTATATAAATAACCAAAACAATGCTGTGTCGGTGGACATCTTGACCTGTGTCCGTTACTTTTGTGTACGCTAACAGGTGTCGCCACCACAAACAGGTGTCACCTCCGATAGTGGCCCTTCCTCCGATAGTGCCCCTTATTGTTGACACAGGACCTTGTCCATGTCAGACAGTCATGTTATCGCGTACAAGTTGTCTCTGAAATACAGTAGCTTAGTAGAGAGCGAAGCAATTGCCCCCTCCGCACTCGTTAGAGAAAGGGAGGGGTTTGTACAAAGACTTTTTGCACAGAGTCGAAAATTTGGTTTTATTTTTTGTGCAAATGGTTTCAAAATGTCATCCAATCTTCAACGATAAATGCAAAAAATATATACAATCATCAAAAAATGTTTAGCCTAAAAAACAAACTTTTAAAGTACAAAAATAATCTCCGTCCATTAATGTGCGATATAGATCAAAATCCGATATCATTTTCCATCGATGTGTTGCTTATCTCTAACCTGGATGATACCACCATCTGTCACTGAGCGATTATTGTAGAGAGTTATTCGCACTGCTCTAAAATTCGACGTTTTAGAATTAAATTCATCGAATGGTTTTCAGTTCATTAGCTACATTTAACGAAGTAGCTACTCAACGAACTGATGAGGCAATTGGTAGCTACCCACAAAAATACGCACAATTACAACGTGCTGGATAATCAACACAGAAACAAGACAATTTCTGCAAATGGTATCTTGTACAACCAAAAACAAACAAGAAACAAAAACTAAAAAGGCAAATAACCTAAACAAAATAGTTATTATTTGGCCAACTTGAAAATTATTGGTAACTCTGTAGCAATTTTCAGAACAAGTCCTGACTTCAAACAATAAACGGCGCCCTATTTGTCAGAAATTACCTCTGAGCTTACAGATTTATTATCATCTTCAAATTATCTGTAATATGCAACCAGATTCGATTTTCTTTGAAAAATTGCGCCAATTTCCAAAATTTGTGAGACTGTTTGTAAACAGAAATATGAGCGGATAGTATAAATCTGGTTAGGCATCACTGTATAGATTGTTAGCGTGTCGAATATCAGGGAATGTCTTTGATCCCGGCTAGTCTAAATGGAAATAGGTTAGGAAGGCGGATAACACATCCATCAATCTGCAAATTGATATCAATTCTCTTATCACTAATTACCTCAGATAATTACCACGCGCAAATTACTGAAAGTCTCGCGCGCTCGGTCAAGACAATTTATATCCCGCCGTGAGAATATTATCTTGAAATTGTCCAGACTTAGTCTGCGTCCAGTCTCGGTCAGTTGCTGGTCATTTCTTTTCCTATGATAATATATCATATTTCACCGCCCCCTCGTCTATATCTAATTTAAGACTAATTTATGCATAAGGGTATCTACAGTTTCTTTAAACAAACACAGCATAATTTATTTTAGGGTAATGTTGATACATTTTCCCACCTTTTTGGAAGTCAGTTTCCATAAAGTTTATAATGTGAAAATTATCATCATTTCGGTTTCGTTCCGTTTTATATTTTCGTCATGCCACCATTGGGAATCAGTATTTTCTTGAGCCTTGCCTTTAACGTCAAAATTTTCGACATTTCTGTAAAAAATATGCAAATTATTTACACTGTCTCCAACAATTTCCATTAAGCTGTTGCTGTTGTGTTCTGTAAACAATCTTACCTTCAGAAGCCTTGTCCGTATGACAAATACAACAAAAACCAGCGATACAAACAGAGCGAGATCAACTGTAGTTAAAATATGTTCTACTATCATGGTTTATTTATTTACTTGCGTTATCGCCTCATGAACAATCAGGATCCTTCTAGTACCTTGCGACTGCCTCTTTGAACAATATAAGGAAGGTACGTCGCATGTCTTCTGAGCA